GCCTAATGGGGTACACTCCTCTGGACCAGTGCTGGTAAATATCATGTCCGTCCTGTGAGAATGATAAATCAGGTCCTATCACTTTCATGAGACGAAACTATATTTCATGAGCATTCCTGTCATTTTTCAATGACGAAGCTATCATGAGAATAATTGTCGATTTTTTCGGAAACCAAATTACTAGTACATTTAGATGAATTACCACAACCAATAGTATGTATTCAAGAAAGTGAAAATATTTTAAACCTTTATGAAGCACAAGTAACAATTACATTAATAAATGAGCTCGATGTTATATTTTTAACAACACTGTTACATTCAAAGTGTTTTTATGTTACTTCGTACCTGAAGTTTTTCGATTCTCAGACTTGGTTGGAAATGTTATCTAATATGAAACTTTAGTGTGATAATTTATTAGCTAGATAATGGTCTGAAGAGGGTAGGTTGATAGTTCTGCTAGAGTACGGCAGTATGAAAATTGAATAGAAGTTGAAAATGAGCGAAGGGCCATTAATGCGACAGTCTAGTCAAACGCACACTTTTTATAATTAACTCATACATTAATGGATGAGAAGACTTGAAGTATTTCTTCAAATCTATAGCCAAAAAAGTGCGCGTTTGACTTGCTGATATACTGTCTGCGACTGTGGAATAGTTATAGCGACGTTTCATCACTGCCTAAAGCCCTACGTTGCCGAAAGCATTTCCAGTCGGTGGTGTGTTATAATGCAAGTCAAACGCTCCCTTTTTTGCCTGTAGATCTGAAGAAATACTTCATGTCTCCTCATCCATTAATGTACGAGTTAGGTGAAGAAGTGTGCGTTTAGTACTGTCGCATTAATGGCCCTTCGCTCATTTTCAACTTCTATTCAATTTACATACTGCCGTACTCTAGCGGAACTATCTACCTACCCTCTTCAGACCATTCTCTAGCTAGTAAATTATCACACTAAAGCTTCATGTTAGATAGCCTTTCCAACAAACTGTGAAAAACACTGTCACGTTCTGTCAATGTGAGAAAACGCCTAAATGTATCTCCTATTTATGTACAGGTATGATTATGTGCATAATCATTTTAAGAATACGTTGTTAGTATTATTTAATTTAATCAACAGTAATGCTGCACACGGTAACATTTATATTTACTGTGATGGAATGTGTATTAAATGAGGACGTATTTCAAAGAACTTATGCGTTTTTTCGTCATGTAAATTCAAGTACAGTGTCCCTGATAGGTGGATTAGTTTTCATCTCCTATGTTTTAAACAGGGTTTTTCCACATTCTGTGTTAGGTACTCGATTTAAAAATCATAAAAATTCAAATCCAAGTCATGGCTAAAAATCTTCTAAATAAAGAATTTAAAAAAAATCATGGCAAATAATCAAACCATGTCACAATACATGGTTTGATTATTTGCCATGAGTTGGATTTAACAACTATGATTTCTCTGGCCATAGAGTATCATAGTACATGTCACACAATACACAAATTCATGCATTGGTTGGCATAGAAGCTTTCAATTAACAACTGTGCAAGTGCATTTAGAACACTAAGTTGGGAGCTGGTAAAACGCTCGAAAAAGAAAAGTAAACATCCTAGAAGAAGATCAATGTGATTCCCAAATTCAGCGGAAAGTTGAAAAATCGACCACTTGTCACATTGCAATGTATAATATTTTAACATTTTCTAAATTTTGCTATAATTTTTGTTTGGACTGATAAACAAGTTGAATCATAGCACACAATTTAAATTTGATGACCACAAATGTTGGTGTAGCGAGCTCTCAACTTAATATGATGTTTTCCGGCCTCACTTCCACCTCAATTTTAAGGTCGAGAAAACGCATATTTGAAACAAATGTATCAGTAGTGTTGCAATTTTTTTTATATATTTTTGCCGAAAAAAGATTATTGTCTATTTGCTTACTGGACTGAAAAATACATACTCCCTCGTAACGAAAAAAAAAGCTGTGTCATTTACTAAATATGATAGTTGAGCAAAATTAAAATCCCCCAGAAATCAATTCACTTGAACGGTCCAGTAAGCAGATAGCCAAAATTTTTGTTCAGCAAAAATAATCTACCAGGGTGGCCAATGCATTGAGGCTTTTAAAATCCCTGTTATTTCTCAGTTGTCTAACATAGGTTTCCCGGTTTAATGGAAACAACTATATATTGTTAAATATCCCAAGTAACGTTACAAGTGTTATCAAAGTTTTAAAGATCGAGTCTAAATCATGGTCAACAACAGTATGATAGAACCAAAATTGTTATTTGAGACAAAGATTATTATTTCGGATATTTTTTTCCCATAGCAGTGCAGTCTGTAGTGCTGAGATTTAAATACGTAATTTTCAAAGGATTTCAGAAGAGAATTACAAGTAAATTCCAAGTATAATTTTTGGATTTCTTTTAGAAGAATCTCAACGTTGATTTTAGAAGAAATACAAATAGATTATGGGGAGAATTTAAAGGGAATTCCAACAGAATGCCTTACTAAGCAATATTTCAAGGGAATTTCCAAGAGAAAAAAAAATCAGAAAAAAATCCTCAATAGGTCTGTTTAGATTTCCAAGATAATTCTGAGATGAATTCCAAGGAAATTCTTAGCAATATTTCAGAGATTTATTTAAAAAGGGTAAGTTTTACAGATAATTATGGAGAGCATTTTATAGGAATTATCGCGAGAATTATTGAGAGTACTAAGATAATTATAAAGTGACTTCAAAGAATTAACTAGATGGGATTCCTAAAGAGGTATTTAGATGAATTATAAGATTATTATGGTATGAAATTTCAAGTGAATGCCAGAAGGAATTCTAATATGATTCTGGGTAATCCTGAAAGCCACTTTGAAGACATCTTGAGGTGAATCTAAGGAAAGTCTTGAGAAAAGTCCATAGATTTCCTATCAAGAATTATATCTGATATAAATCTTGAAATTTTTAAGTAATTCAAACATTGAAAATTTGTAATAATAATGTGGCACAGAAATTTGTTTTTTTTTTTAATTTTAAGACCACCAACAGCTGTAAAGATTTTATGCTAACAAAAAAATGATCCCGGCCTTAGTAAACTCTTCAAAAAGTAAAGCCTGACTCGTACATCACACAAAACGAAATGCTTGAGACTATAAGGACTTTTATTTTCTATCCCAGGCTATGGAAAATGAAGGCGATAAGTGTTTCATCTCTGAAAAGAACAAGTCAGTTTGCATACACAGAACAGAACATAAAACAGAGGGAAAAGGTACAAGCTAACAAGTTATCAGAATCAATAAAAAATATGTTTAAACATATTTTGAAATTGCAATCAAATTCCCGGTTATTTCCAGGACTTTTTTTCAGTTGGTTTCGATTCCCGGTTAAATCCCACTTCTCTCGGTTATTCCGGTTGAGTGGCCACCCTGATCTTAAGTCCCCCTACAATTATGGACCACTTCCATTTTGAGTTAATCAAATGTAAGTGTTCCTTAATTGTGGAGGGACTAAAAAAAATATTCTAAAAAACTAATCTGCTTGCAAAAACGGCAAACAATTGTATGGGCCATTCAGCATTTCTTGAAATAAATGGCCCATAAACTACTTCTTAACCAAAGAAATCAAGTTTCTCGATACAAATCAACGCAAAACTTTGTTAAACTGCAAACATATGGTATTGAGCTTTTTTTTATTTTGGTTCTTTCGGTTTTATATGCTTAAATTATATGTAAGTATGCTTGAATAATATTTTCATTTTTTTACAATTTAAAAATTTTAACTGTCGGAACATTTGAGTAGTGAACGGATATCTGTAAAACTTGTTATGACCCTCAACGACAACGACCCTCTTTTAATTGGATTATAAATAATACTTCAACTATTATTTAAAATAATTCTCAGCTCTCAAATATGTTGCCCGTAATCTGCTTACGATAGAAAATTGCATTGGGAAAAACAAAGCTTTCGAGAAAAAAGAAACATTCTGTCAAAGAATCATAAAATTTGAAAAGAAAGAAGCTTCCCAAGTGAGTATCGCCAAATTAACCTAGCTATTTTTCAATCTCTCTCTAATTGACAGTAAGCAGTGAAATGCAGACGGTAATTAAACTGAAAGTGCCGATGCTACTAAGTAATGTATCAAAACATAGGAAATCTAACTGGCACAGCGGTAGGAATTGACGAACACTGGCAGCAGAAATGAAAAATATACATATATAAAGCAATGAAACGCATGCCACATGCCAACGTAATTGCATCCGACACATCACACGGCAGCGGGTACTTAGACAGAAGGGGGAAGCATAAGCCGAAAGCCACAGCCTCGTGGCCACCACCTTGAACATGAATACCAACTAATGTCTCGTTTTAGTAACGCTTGGGGCGGCGCTTGGGCACGCGCTTAAGGTGCTGCTGCTGGCTTCTAGTCCGTCAGTTTAATTTTGCCGTGTGCATTTTTACGAGCTAAGCAAGTGACCTGTCGCCCCGTCGTCATAGGTTTATGCTACAAACAGGTGTTTTATCGCTGAATATATCATAATATTTGTGTGATACGACAGCTTCACGTCTTTAAAACGAGCACAAACTTTTTGTCGTTTAACTTTTTTTTTTTGGTCCGTAGAAGTGTCGTAGCAGACATTGAACTTCAGGCTCATTGCCGACGTAAGTGTGCAAAAGTTAAAGGAAAATATCCCACTTGCCAAAAGCGATAAAGTTGAATAAAGCATTGGGTGATTAAGGTGGCAAATTGTATGAACACTCTTGCACCTGCAATTTTTTTTACAGTTATTCGGGAAAAAAGAGTCTGAATCACACCGCACGCTGATGAAAAGTGTGTCACTGACATCCCATTCCAGACAGACAGCACACAACAAGAAGAGTACATATATGTAATGCGGTAGGAGATTTTATTGGAATTGGAGTGACCGTTTTTTTTTAAATATTATTTATAAATAACCTGTTCAATAAGGTACGACACGACTAAACGAAATGCTAATCGATTTCTTTATGTTTCACTTTCAGAGTTTCAATAAAATGGGCCAGGAGAAATCACTGCCCTCCAGATGTACTTCCGCACATGACTATCGGCATCACCACCACCATCACCATCACCACCACCACACAACGTCCTTGGCTTCTTCAACAGGATCCAAATCTTCCGGTGCGCCTTCCCGCTCTCCTTCGACTGCTTCGACGACCTCTTCGGCTTCGTCTGCTTCCGCAGCATCCTCGTACAAGAGTGTTGAACGCCAAACGAAATACCTAAACGAGCACTTGTACATCAAGTCCTACCTGGACATAGAAGAAGAAGATCGAAACGCAAAATTACTTTTCCAAAAAGTGCGACCCGGTGGAATACGCAATTATACACCGAAAATTCTCTCCGAAAACAACAAAAAAGATCTTGATGTATGGATATAGCAGCCCGGCAACCCGCACGTTCGCTGAAACTATCACCAGAATAGAAGCTGCTTATAAGAATACTAACAACCGTATAAACGACTCTTTCTCTCTTTATTGCCGGCCTTGTCAAATCTTTCCCATCGCTATACCATTCTAAACAATTTTTTGGCAGACCTGCTTGCAATACTAGTTCTCTCGTGCAATGGCTCTTGGACTCGCTTCTGTAGCGGCAGTAGCTGGAGGACTCACGCACACCCCGATAGCACTACTGACTCTCATACCACTTATAGCTGTAGGAGTCAATTACTATAGATACCAAAGTGTGGATCCGGAATCGAGCCCCATCGACCAACAAACAGTAACAATAGCGCTATCAACTCACACAAGGGTTACGACTAATGCAATTCTAATCTTTATTTACTTTTAGCTAAGACCCTACTATGACTTTATTGTCATTGGCGCCGGATCTGCTGGTGCCGTCATGGCTTCACGACTCACAGAGATAGGAGACTGGTCTGTGCTACTACTGGAGGCAGGTGGCGACGAGACGGAAGTGACCGACGTTCCGTCGCTGGCCGGTTATCTACAGTTGACGGAATTTGACTGGAAGTATCAAACGGTACCGCCAGGAGATCGGCGGTACTGTCAGGCAATGATAGGCGATCGATGTAATTGGCCTAGAGGAAAAGTTATGGGAGGATCAAGTGTGCTAAACGCAATGGTATATGTTAGAGGTAATCGAAGGGATTACGATAGCTGGCTAGAGCAAGGGAACATAGGATGGGGGTATGAAAACGTCCTACCATATTTTATCAAATCGGAGGACAATCGAAATCCTTACATGGCACGGTCGCCATATCATGGAGTTGGAGGATATCTAACAGTACAGGAAGCACCGTGGAGAACACCATTATCGATAGCGTTCGTTAAAGCCGGCCAAGAAATGGGTTATGAAAACAGGGATATCAATGGAGAGGAACAAACCGGCTTCATGCTGCTTCAGGCAACGATGAGGCGAGGTAGCCGCTGTAGTACTTCTAAAGCATTCCTACGACCGGTGCGGCTACGAAATAATCTCCACACAGCAATGCATGCCCATGTTACACGCATACTTTTTGACAGAAATAATCGAGCATATGGCGTTGAATATTCTCGCCACGGCAAAAGGCAGCTGGTTTTTGCCAAAAAGGAAATCATACTTTCGGCGGGAGCGTTGAACACTCCCCAAATATTGATGCTGAGTGGCGTTGGACCGACCGAGCATCTGGCCGAGTATGGAATTCCAGTGTTGTCAGATCTTCCTGTTGGTGACAACATGCAGGATCACGTTGGCCTAGGCGGCTTAACCTTCCTCGTGGATGAACCAGTGACGGTAAAGACATCTCGCTTCACTACTTTGCCAGTTGCATTTGATTACATTTTCAACGAAAGAGGTCCGATGACATTCCCGGGAATTGAAGGACTGGCATTCGTCAACACCAAATATGCCGATCCATCTGGACAATGGCCTGATATTCAATTCCACTTTGGACCAAGCTCGGTGAATTCGGATGGTGGACAAAACATCCGCAAAATCCTGAATCTTCGTGATGGGTTCTACAATACGGTTTACAAACCCATACAAAATGCAGAGACCTGGACAATCCTACCTCTCCTATTGCGACCGAAAAGTACTGGCTGGGTACGATTGAGGTCACGAAATCCGTTCGTGCCTCCTGCTCTCGAACCAAACTACTTCGAGCATCCAGAGGATGTTGCGGTTCTAGTTGAAGGTATCAAAATAGCGATCAATGTATCGTACACCCAGGCATTCCAGCGCTTCGGGTCGCGACCGCACAAAATTCCGCTGCCAGGCTGTCGGCATTTGCCATTCATGTCCGACGAGTACTGGGCGTGCTGCATAAAACAGTTTACTTTCACTATTTACCATCCTGTTGGGACAGCTAAAATGGGACCAAGTTGGGATCCCAGTGCAGTGGTCGATGCCCGATTACGGGTGTACGGAGTTTCCGGATTGAGAGTAGTAGATGCTAGCATAATGCCAACGATCATCAGCGGCAACCCCAACGCACCGGTTATCATGATCGCTGAAAAGGCGGCCGATATGATCAAACAGGACTGGGGTCGTTGGTGACAGTGAGGACCATCGAAGAAAATTCACATGTGCCTAACATTTTTCGACAAACCCGTGAAAAATTGTGTACTTAAACAAGAAGATTTTCTTATGTGATATTATAGCTCAACGAAGGACACACAAAATATCAATTATAACTGCGGTGAGCTCAAAACGCATAACAATCAAGAGAGAACGCCGAGAGAATATAGTTTAATCAATTCCTACTAGTCAGCACTTACGAATTAAGTGATCGAAGTGTTACTGAATGCAGAATTTGAGGAAATAGGAAAATTTGTCTTAAAATTTTGCATTGCTAAAGGTTTTTGTTTTAAAAAATGCTGTTATAGGACAATGAATGACGTAAAGGTATTTCCTATTTAAGAAGAAACTCATGCATGAGTGATCCAGCAGCGAACTGTCGCCTGGGAAATGCAACATGAAATTTGGTGTAAAAATAATTGCAAGTGGAAACTGTTCAAGTTCCAACGGATGAAAAACGTTACCAGTAATAAAACGTGAAGATAATATGCTAATCGATGGTTTAATAATAAAAACAATATCACAATACCATGAGCAAAGTAGCCACTGAATTTATGAAATTAAATTCCCGATTTTTCTCGGGTTCCGAAAATATATTTGCTGGTGCCATATAATGTGGTGATTTATATCAGAAATTGATGTTACTGAACAAAACGGTACTGTATTTTATTTTAAATTCAGAAAATCGGAGATCTAGGTACATTGAAAAACAAAGTTGCAAATTTATAAGATTACAAGACCGCAACAAATTGTCAAATTGTCAGATGCTCAGATATTTTTTAAAGACTAAAATTTGACATTATCTTTAAAGTCTCAGAATTTTGAATGACTATTATTCGATGGCCGCATTGATATATTGGGTTTAGATTTAGAATAACATTGGAACTCTCGGTCTAAGAATTGTTTTGAAGATCATAGGAGAAAGTTTTATATACTTAGAAGAAAGGCCAACTTTTAACATTCTTGAACTTTTCGAGATTTGTGACTTCAAATATGGCGTCTTTTAAAGATTTCAGATTTTAAAAAATAATATGACTCTTGAACAACATTTTAGGACTTTTTGAAGCATTTTCTTGAGACTTATGAGTTTTGAAGAGAATTGTAGAGGAATTAATGGGATAATTCTTAGGTAATTCAGGATACAGGTAGGTAATTTTGAGAAGTATTTCAAGAAAATTGTAAGGAGAGCTTAAGTGAATTCCTAGGCTGTCCTCAAGACACTATTATGGGGATTTTGAGTAGAATTTCAGGCAACTCTAAAGTAAAATGGCAGTAATTTCAAGAAGATTCAAAATACGACTAACTTGCTGAATGACTACAATGTTTAACAATCAATCACTTAAAGTAAAAAATTGAGGCGAGCTGCCAGAAAAAATCGATAACAATGCTAAAGAAATCCAATTCTTAATATACAGGGTGTCTGAAAATATCCGAACAAATCATGTCATGAAACAGCAAAAAATGTTATCTTCCATTTAATTCCACATAATTAATTTTGGTATCCATGACAGATACGTATTTCGACTACAATGTGCAGTCTTCATCAGTGTCATTCCCACTAAAGAACTTATCAAAATCTAACCTGGGTTAGATTTTGATAAGTTCTTTAGTGGGAATGACACTGATGAAGACATCTAACCTGGGTTAGATTTTGATAAGTTCTTTAGTGGGAATGACACTGATGAAGACTGCACATTGTAGTCGAAATACGTATCTGTCATGGATACCAAAATTAATTAAGTGGAATTAAATGGAAGATAACCTTTTTTGCTGTTTTATTTAGCATTCCGCTAACAACCCAATTTCATTACTTCATTATGATGGCTACCAAGCCTTTGGGGATTTTCCTTATTAGAGAGTTGTATAGATTTTTCTCCTTTAGCTTACTTAAATCTTTGGTTTTTATTAGTTAGGTAGGTTCCGATTCAACACATTGTAGTTTCATTTTTATACCTATGATCTTGACTTTTTTACCTAGAGGATGAGTACTTAAGGGGGTTAGATTTTGATAAGTTCTTTAGTGGGAATGACACTGATGAAGACTGCACATTGTAGTCGAAATACGTATCTGTCATGGATACCAAAATTAATTAAGTGGAATTAAATGGAAGATAACCTTTTTTGCTGTTTTATTTAGCATTCCGCTAACAACCCAATTTCATTACTTCATTATGATGGCTACCAAGCCTTTGGGGATTTTCCTTATTAGAGAGTTGTATAGATTTTTCTCCTTTAGCTTACTTAAATCTTTGGTTTTTATTAGTTAGGTAGGTTCCGATTCAACACATTGTAGTTTCATTTTTATACCTATGATCTTGACTTTTTTACCTAGAGGATGAGTACTTAAGGGGGTTAGATTTTGATAAGTTCTTTAGTGGGAATGACACTGATGAAGACTGCACATTGTAGTCGAAATACGTATCTGTCATGGATACCAAAATTAATTAAGTGGAATTAAATGGAAGATAACCTTTTTTGCTGTTTTATTTAGCATTCCGCTAACAACCTAATTTCATTACTTCATTATGATGGCTACCAAGCCTTTGGGGATTACTTTGCCACTGGATTTTCGTTATCGCTAGTGTTGTTGTCAATATTAATATTCGTCTTTATCTTCGTGTAGATGATTTTGAGGATAAAATGCAAAATGATTACTTTCATTTTACACGAAAATAGCGCTGAAGAACGTATATTGTTGGTTTTTAAACACAGATCGATGGAAAATTATTGCCTCTTGCTGAATTGATGATAATATCGAGGTTACAGGCTCTGGGCTCGACAATATTCAAAATAATCATTTTGATCTAAATGAATTTGATTATTTGAGGATCTCTTCTGACTTTGATAATTTTGGGTTGCATAATCAAGCACTGGTGAATATCTTTTCAAGCTGGCACTATGCCAGCTGCTCACAATAACTAAGGATAAGAGTTAAGTATAATAAAATGTAATTTATAATAATATGATAAGATATAAGTCAATAATGAAATAAATGTAGTGCCATAAAATATGCTACATTGTAATATAATAAAATATAATCAATATTATAAAAATATAAAATGAAAAATAATAAATCCGAGGCAAACCAGCCGAAATTTGCAATACATGTTAAGGTTTCCACGGGATGGTTTGTTTGAGAAGAACGCGTCAAATTCATTGCAACTGTTGGAGTAAAATGTAACTATCTAAAATGACAGAACAAATGTCCTCCTAGACTCCGGCTGGCGCTCCACTTCATTGTCCAACTCAATTATGCTCTGATGCTCCCTCCCGTCCCAGCATTTTTTTAATATACAGCATAATTTTACAAGCAATATTTCACAGGAAGCGCCCACACTCAAGTAACCACCATGCTTGTGAATAGCACTCTAATCGCCCTTTTTGCAATATAAGGCTGTTATAGGGCTTTAATACTGTATATCAGCCGTATATCAGCATTATATTGCAAAAGGGGCGATTAGCGGGCTGGTTGGTTACTTGGGACATTCATCAGGAAGCAATATTTAATGTTTACAAAATATATATTGAAAAATAAATAAGTATGACAATATTCAAATAACCTAGATTTTAATTAATTACAATTAAAACTTCTTTTAACGTATCGCATCATGGAATATTTTGAAAATATCAATATTATTTAGAAAATTTTTGGTTATTTGGACATGAAACAATATATTAACAAGGATTCTAATGTACAAATTAACAATTATTGTATATATTGGAGCCCCTGTAATGGTAAAATTATTTTGCTAGTTAAACTATAATGTAAGGTTATATTACGAGTAATTGAAATTATCTCCAATGAACAGAAGTAATATAGTTTCATGTAGTGTTTTCGATTATTATACTGATAAAGATACTTTTATGAATTGACTTTTTAGACACGTTGTATGCTACAAAAGTAATTTAAAAAATTGGATTATAAATTGTATGTTAAACGCTGCATGTTGACGCTCATGCCTTTCGTATATTTTCACCGTGCCAAATATATAATTGACAATTATTTATAATTAATACTTCCAGATTCAAATTTTAACTATACAATATACAGCAAAATATAATTCCTCTGCACGTAGACTGCATACATTTCTTCAAAGTTTCCAGAGTCCCCTTCTTGTTCCTTTCCTACATTGACCGAGATGAACTATCCTTCAGCAAAGCATTTCCCGAGACTCATCAACCAAATGTTAAATTAAGATATTATCTCATTTAATGCATCTTCTCGCTTTTGTATGGCAGGCTAAATGCATTTTTAAAGCTCGGTTGTGCAATCTAACGTAAACCACTATATTATTTCAATATCCAATTTTAACAAACATATAAATATAATATATTCTCTCACTGGAAACAAAAAAATTATAACATATAAACCTGAAAATAGTGAAACATACATTTACGTGCAATATAATCAACCGGTTGAAACTAACGATTTTAAATTGGCTCACTAAATGACTAGCCTATTGGTCCGAAGCAAATCGATTAACGTACCCCATTCTTGTCGAAATTCTAGTACTACACAATGTTTGTTTTGATTTGCCATGAAAGTTTGACAGATCAAATGAGGGGTTCGTGGATGTTCCTATGTTTCGAGGGGTACATCGATTAGATTGGGACCGAAGATAGTACCAGAGCTGAGCCAACAAGTTGAGCACGTTTCTTCGGGACCTTCTGGTCTTTGAGTTACCTCTATGATATAATACAGCATTTCAAAACAATGCTAGATAAAAAGAAAGAGCCTCACCCAAATCATAGATAATACGGAGTCATGGAAATTAAGTTTAAATAGATAAAAGTAGAAAAAAATAACAACCTCACCAAATCAGTCCAAGTGAACTCGTAGCAAGCAGCCTTGTCACGTTTGATGTAGTAGTTCCGATCATAGACGGTCCGCCATATGCCGCGAATCCTATCCTGTCCTTTTTTGGATTTTGTTTGTCCCCGTAAAAATGATATTAGTTAGATTAGAATTACCAAAATGGTCTTAAATCACCAAAGCGGCAAGATATCTCTTAAAATAATCTAGAATATGAAAACTCTTACAATAATTTTGAAATGTACATAGAAAGGCACTAAAAATTAATAATTAAGTTAAAATTAAACTCCCCCAAATAACTTTAAAATGCCGCAGTAACTTTGAAATCCCCAGAAAGACCAGGGTACATCAAAATAGTTCTGTAATTAAATGTTAGAAGAACACGCTAAACCAATATTAATTGTTTTAATGGTATGGCTTTGATTAGTGGAGTCAGTAAAAAGTTTTTGCAATTTTAGTAAAACGCCTCTTTTATTGATTACTTGACCAACTCGTCAAAATTCCAGAAAATGTCATGCACATCTGGTAAAACTGCAGCTCTTTAATCTTTTTTGGAGGGAAAATGAAAAAAAAGCGCTAAGCTTAAACCCGAATTTATTTATATTTTGATTCCAGGGCGGAATCTGAATTTAACTTATCGCATATCCACGTACCGTTATTTTTTTTAATATAATC